GACAATCGAATGTATTTTAGCACAAAATTACAGAATATCTCAATAAATTATGAGAACCATATAGTAAATAGTTATTTTGCAAACCATCAATCAATTGTCTCAATCTCGACTGTTCCATCTGTAAATATCAGTTCATAGTTTCTGATTATTATTGTCCATGCATTTTCATACCGTTCCCGTTCTTTCCTTATCGATCTTTCCAGTGAAATACATTCACTGCCCGACCATTGTGACATACTGCATATGTGGATATAAGTAACCCACACTACACTATGACCTCCGAATCAGCTATATGAATACTTTCAGCTAAACTATATTATTTATAACTATTCTATTTTAGAAATCTCAAATGATGAAGCAACTTTAATTCTTGACATAATGCTTCTATGCATTTCAACATTTTAAATGTTTTTTCCATAGTTGAAATCATGAGTCAATTGAAGCTAGACCACGGCCGTTTCGTCCTGTTGTGGACTCCTCAGCAGTTCGCATCCACGATCCCACACTCGCGAGATTCGAAATCGGGATCTATCAGTCTCGCGCCAGAGCGTCCAGTGCTTCCAGGTTTTCCATGGTTATCTAACTTCAATTGACTCATGCTTTCATGTATGAAAATACTGAAATATTCACAAAACCCCTTCTGATTTTAAATGTTCTAAACCAATAGTCAAATTTTATTTTATGCTGTAATGCATAAAAATAATGTTACGTTTTGTCCATTAAAAAGTTTAAAATCTTAAATTTCCAAATGTTTTCACAAACTATTTTAGGAAAACCGTTTAGATTTTCATTGGATTCTCTTATTAAATTTCAACTTTCAATTGCTTTGTTACGCTCATTTGCAATCCTTATGTAAATAAAATTTTAACTTGGCCCGCCATGGAACAAAGGTTGTTTACAAAAAAACATTTAAATTTATTTTATTTATTTCGATAGTTCACTAAAATTCTTGTTTGTTTTTAATTTTATATAAACTAAATCACTTATTATCAGAAGGGGATTTTTTGTGGAGATTTAGTATTTTCATAGTTGAAAGCGTCAGTCACTTTAAGCTAGACCATCAGGAAAAACCAGGAAGCACTGGAAGGCCGTTTCGTCCTATTGTGGGACTCCTCAGCGGTGCGCGTCCATGACCCCGTCTCGCGAGATTCGAAACCTGGACCTACCAGAGCGCATAACCGATACACCACTGAGCCGGCATCCAATGGATGAAACAGTCATCCACTGCTTTCAGATTTTCTCTGGTGGTCTAGCATCAATTGACTCACGCTTTCAACTATAAATCAATTGTGTACAAATTGTATTTACTAATTAACTTAATTTTTTAAAAACAGGGAAGCGACAGTCAGTCAGTCAGCAACAACGTAGGACCAGGCACATTTATGCATCGGTCCAAGTTGCCATACCTCGTTAGCACAACAAGATGAACACCGGATTCATAGAAGTAATTAATTTAGTGGTGGTAGTATATAAAGAAAGGTTGTATATAAGTATATAGTATAGGAAGGAAAAAAGTCATGAGCCAATTTTAATCTCAAGGTTTAAGGGAAGATAAAGAGTGTATACACCTACGCCATTGTGATCGATTCTGAGTCATGTCACCTAGAGTCTCCAACCACTGGTTACGATAGTCACGCGGACCCCAACCAGGTAGTCTGCATCTGCCAACATGGCTCAGACTAAAAGTTAGTGACTTCAAGCACTGATGCCATGTTTTGGTTTGGCCACCCCTAACTCTCATCCAACCATCCCCTACACTAGTCAGCATAGCGCGTCGTGGTAATCGGTGTTCAGGCATACGTAACACATGGCCCAACCATCTCAGTCGATGAAGATTCATCACCTCATCAACTGATTTACCATCATTCCCTAATACCCTGCGTCTAACCTCACTATTACATTGGGACTGATCAGACTTCCAAGATAAGTGAAGTTGTCGACGCGTTCGACTACTTCACTCCCTATCCTTTGTTCGGGTGTTGACGCAGGCCAGTCATGGAGTAACAATTTACATTTGGATGGGGAGAAACGCATCCCAAACATCCTGGCATTATTACTGAGTTCCAACAGAAGACTACATTTTGTCAGCGTCTTCACCAAACAGGACTATGTCATCTGCTTATTCTAAGTCGCTTAGTGGCTCCCCTGGTAGGAGATCAATTCCTGTAAATTCAGTCGAAGAGAGTGTTATTTCCAGCAATAGGTCTATAATGAAGTTAAACAAAAATGGGGATAGTGGACAGCCTTGACGGACACCACTTGAGGTTGTAAAATCATATGACAGTTCGCCATAAGCTCTCTCTCGAGTGGTAGTGTTCGAGTAAAGAGCCTTCACAAGGTTTATGTACTTCTCCGGTACACCTTTCAATGACAGACACTGCCACAGAACCTCTCGGTCTACAGAGTGAAATGCTGCTTTGAAGTCAAGAAAAACTATCATTGTCGGACGCCGATAAGCGTGTCTGTGCTCTAAAACTTGACGAATGGTGAATATGTGGTCGATACAGCCACGACCGGGTCTGAAGCCAGCCTGATTTTCTCGTGTTTGCAGTTCACGAGTCTTAGTTAGGCGCCCGATAATTATTGAGGCTAGTATTTTAGATGCTATGTTGGTCAGACTAATCCCTCTATGGTTATCACAGGATGATTTTGGCCCCTTTTTATATATTGGGACAATCAGAGATTGTGACCATTCGGAAGGGATTACATCCGTCTCCCAGATTTTAGCCAGAATATTAGTCAACCTAATCGCTAAAATTGGACCACCATATTTAAGGACCTCTGGAGCTAATCCATCTGGACCAGCTGCTCTTCCTCGTTTCAGATTACCTATAGCCTTTTGAACTTCAAGTAGGGTCGGGGGGCCTACTTCAATGTTCCATTCAGGTTTTCTGGGGATAGTGGGTAGTTGTGCAGCAGCCGAAGGCCAGCTAAACTGCTCCTTAAAGTGTTCCGCCCATCGTTCTAAACGTTTGGGTTGAAAGCAGATAAGGGTTCCGTCTTTTTCGGAGATTGTCTCACTTACACTTGTCTTCTTAATTCCGGTTTCTTTTATTAGTCTGAATAGTTGCCTGGTGTTCCCTACAGCTGCTGCCTTTTCCATCTCTTTTGCTTTCGTTGCCCACCACTGCTCACGATCATTCCTTAGACTTTTAGTTAACCTAGATCTGATTTGTTTACGCTCTTCGTCGTGTTTAGAGCCTGATAGGATGAGTTTACGCGAATCCATCAGTGAAATAGACTTAGAAGAAATCCATTGGTTTTTTGGAGCCCTATGATTTAAATAACTAATAGATGTAACTGCTGTTTCCACAGCTGTTCGTATGTCTTTCCATGCAGTATCTGGGTCAGTCTCGTTTACAGAACTGCCTAGATGTGAACTCAGTTGTTTCTGGAATTCGCATTTGGCTTTCTCGTCCTCCAGTTCAATCCTAATGGGTCTTCTTAGTGTACTTTTCCTGTGTCCCATTGAGGTGCAGACAAAGCTCAAAGCGTGATCAGAGTCTAAACAAGTATTCCAATACGAGCGACAATCTTCTATTGAGCCTCTCCAACGATGATTGATAACAATATGGTCTATTTGAGTCCATCGTTGGTTTGGTGCAGAAGGTCGCCATGTTAGACGATGTCTCTCCTTATGCTTAAAATTAGTGCTTGCTAAAAATAAACGATTGTCTGAGCATAGTTGCAACAGACGATCACCATTATCGGTTCGTTGAGCCGGAATACTAAAACATCCACCTAAATGTCTTTCTGTTTGATTTAGGCTGCCTACCTGGGCATTAAAGTCACCCGCTATGAGTACTATGTCTGAGCGTTTAGCTCTCTGAGGAAGCTCAGAGAGTTTTCTGTAAAAGTCATCTTTCACTTCACCATGGCTGCAGTCGGTGGGAGCGTAGGCAGAAACGACGAAAAGGCAACGACGTGTGTCCCTATCCTTCCGAGTTCTTACGAAGCCATTTAGCCGGACAGCACACAGGCGACTGTTAACGGGGATCCATTCTAGTAGTGCCTGTTCTGCCTTTGTACTTAGTGCAATGCCTACACCTGCAAGTCCACGAGAACTAGCCAACGGGTCTCCAGATACACGGAGGGTGTATTTCGTTGGCTGTCCATTTTGGCGAGGTGAGGTCAAGTGAATGACCACACTGGGATCCTGTATGCGTGTTTCGGAGACACAGCATACATCAATGGTACGAGATTCTAGGGTTTTAGCTAAGGAGGCCTGTTGACCGATTTGGCATAGGGTACGTACGTTGAAGGCTCCAATGTGTAGTTTGGAGCGAGGTTTTAGTGGACCTGGGACAGCGTTTCGCGCACTAGAATCGTTGGCATGGTGACACTTGAGGAGGAAACCGGAACAGGAAGTTTAGTGTTGAAAGTCAATGTAGAAGGAATAGTAGGAATTGAAGGAGATTAATTATGAATACAGTGGTCTTGAGTGCTGTTAGAGGTATGAGGGCAGTTATCACTTCCCGGTTGCCCACACCGTGGAAGGGTTCTTCTGGGGGTACCTGAAAAGGAAATTGGGTTAGAAGTGGTCTTAATGACCTGAGAGCGTGACCACAGTGCCCAAGGGACAACTGCTTGAGGTAGGTCACACACGACCTTTTTGTGTGTAGGTTTTGTGTTAGCTCCGTTCTTTAAAGGACCTTACCGCCGGAGACGGATATCCGTGGGATAAGGCGAGGTGTGCATTTTTAGGGTCGACCTTTTCTAACCCCACCCCTCCTTGTGGGAAGGCAGCATCGCTGTCATGCTGGTTGTCTGAAGGAAACACCTTACTGCCATCACACCTCTCTACAGTCGCCAGTACGACTTCGCCTTCGGACCTTGGGTTTGCTGTTCTTGGGTTTACCGCTCTTCAACCGACCTGTGTGGCATGGTAGGACCTCGAGGAACGATTGTTCCAGCCAGCATAGCTAGATCACAATAGGCAAACCCGACCACCAAGTCAAGGTAGCAGCAACGGTCGGGAGGTAAGCAACAAAAAACAAACAAAAGCAAACAAAATGTATTTATTGAAGAGTTTCAACAAACAAACAAAAAACAACAACAGAATAACCAATTAATATTCGCTGTTTAAGACTTTTTATCAAGTTCCTTTAGAAAGATAATTAATTATCGAAAGAATATTTGAAATCAATATTGATTAATCTGGTTAGTAAAAGGGAAAAGAAAACCAAAAAAAAACGCTTGTTTTTTTTCTATCATATATGTATATATGAATAGTTTTTGAGATTATGCAATATAAATTGGCATTCTATATATAATAATGTAAATGTGTACAAACACACCAAAAAGAGAATCATTCAATTTACTTTAGTCATGATAATCAGTAACTTTCCTTTTCATTAAAAAAATTTTTTTGAAAAAACAACTAAATAAACACAATCACAAAAGAAAAAAATAATATTGATTTTTGATATGAAAAGAAATAAGATTGAAATTGTTACTAGTTGGTTAATAAATTCAATATTAAGTGAATCGTTTTTTGTTTTGTTTTTTTTTTTTAAAAAAAGAGGGGGAGAGGATAGTTTATCATGTGATTATGTTTCTTTTTTTTCTTCTTTCTACTGATTTGTTTACTCTGTTAATGTAAGTTTACATTAAATTGATTAGAAATAAAAAATAATAATAATCATAATTTATAGAGATAAGAGATTGAAAAAAGTATTAACTAAACTATCATTTGGTTTGAAAATTGTTCATATGTAACTTTCATCATAGTATTGATAATGTCGTTGATGAGGATAATGATAATGATGATATTGATGATGACGAAGATCATGATGATGATGATGATGATGAAGATTGATTGATTGATTTAACCTTTAAAATAAAAAGAAGTATATATTATTAAACGAAATTTGTAAAAAACCAAACAAACAAAAGTTCTGAGATTAAGTGGATTAAAAATTGAAACAATAAAGAAGAATTCAATCAGTATTTATGATAATAGTTGAATAAAATAGTTTGTTTATATTGTCATTATGTTGGTACATTTATCTAGTAACTGGTTCCATTTCGTGAACTATTTCAAACTAGGGTACATTGAACATCTGTTTCATCCTTTGCATAGACGCATTTATAGTTCACAATAGTTTTTCAGGCATCACAGCCTGTAATTTCTGGATCAGCAAACATAGTGTTATCTCTAAATCACTTACTTGGTATTCAGCAGTTTATGATTATTATATCTGTTACTTGACGATAATGTGTGGTTATCACATCTTGGATGATGCTCGTTCCATCTCCAGTATGATTAAACGTTTGAAAAATTTCATACAAGAACAAAAAAGCTACTCAGTGGACTATGGTTTCAATGATTGAGTGACTAAAGTCAGTCCATTACGTGAAACTGATTCAAATTATGCATCAACTATACATGTTAATACTATTCATCATGTAGCAAATGTATATGTTAAGTTGATTCTATCTAATTCTTGAAATAGACACTCCTGAAACAGACAAGACTTAGTAAAATTAAGTAAAGATTTCCCAAAGAACTAACTAAATATATTCAATATACACGTACGGTTTCAATATCATAGAAACTTAAAAATATACCAAAGGTGTTTGAGTCATTTTTGGTTTTTCAACCTTAACTTACATAGCTCTTCTTGTGAAAAAGCATTAATGCAGTGGTTAAATTTATAAATGCTCCTAAATTTTTGATAGAAACGGGTTACAAGACTGATTTAAGACAGTGTTTTTAGTTTTATAGAAAATTGATAAAAGACAAGTGCTTATACTTACCTGTTGTTGTATTATATACAGTATACTGTCCAAAATTTGATAATTGAGCAGATTGATGAATTGAATTTTTATCAATTTCATTATTATTTGTTGTTGTATTAACAATAGTACCAGCTACAGTAACAGTTGTTGTATGATTAAATGGTGAAATATTTGTAGAATTAAATGGATATGCTGAAAATGCAATCAATGGAATATTAGATAATGCTGAATAATTAGTCAGATTCAAATTTGGAATGGTCATATTTTTCAAATTCAAAATGTGTTGTTGTATATCACATGGTGAAGTAACGTTATTATTATTATTATTATTGTTATGAACACTTTGATATACAGGAGTTTTATGATTTATTAATGCATTTTGAATATCACCAATATTTGGAAAAGTAGTTTGACTATCAGAGAATTGAGCATTTGTTATGTTAGGAATGATGTTAATCTCAGGTTTCTCTGATTGGTAACTGAAATAATTATATTAACATTAAAATAAAAAGGAAATAAGTATTTAAACAATAGGGCTAACTCTCATTATGACAGAGCAGTCACATAACACTATAAAACATCGTTTCTTAAGCTTGAACAGAACAGGTGATCCTCACGTGACCGATTCTGTGGTGTAATTTCTTCTAAATAATTTCTAAACTTTGTATATCATTCATCCTGATAACCATTATTAGATAACTCTCAATAGTGCATACATTTCAGAAGACAATACAAAGCGTTGATTAAAGCTCATATCAGAAAGCGATAAACACACGAAAGGAGTGTAAGTGAATACAAGTGGACAAATTAATTAATGAAATTTAAGCAGGATATATATGTAAGAAAATGAATACGTCGTCGAGTGACCTAAGTAACCAGAAGTTAAGTTAATAACAAGGATATGTATGTTGGCTGTGGCACGTGATCAATCATACCTGCTCATACAAGCATGGTGATAATAGTGCAGAGATGGAGACAAATTGTTAGTGATCTAATGACACTGTCAGTTAAACAAGCCAATTGAAGGAATGACAGTTATATTTCTATATTACAGATATGTACAAAAGTGAAACGTCTATAAATGAATTTGTAGGCTTATTTCAAGAATATTATATGGTTGAGATCATGAGTCAATTGAAGCTAGGCCACCTTGGAAAACCTGGAAGCACTGGACGGCCGTTTCGTCCTATTATGGGACTCTTCAGCAGTGCTTCCAGGTTTTCCATGATGTTCTAGCTTTAATTGAATCATGATCTCAACCACATAAAATTACTAAAATCGCCAGAAAACCCTCTTATGATTATTTTAGGAAGTTAAGGTTTTTATAAATATTACTTACATATACTTACAATGATTTGACATAATAAATCTAATTTAGAACGAAACTATTTCATAAGCAATTTTGAGCCTTTTTTCCTCCATCATTGTTAAACAATTAATTTCCTTTCTAAAGAACAGTTTATGATTTTCGACTTCTCTTTTTTTATAACTGTCTTTTTCCTCATTCTCTCAGTGTTTCCAGCTGAGAAAATATTTGACAGATTTAAAAAAAATAATAAAACTGTCTCCTAGGTATGCAAATATATGTGTATATAAAGATACAATTTCAATTTTTCGGGTAGTTTTCCTGATGTTTAGTTTACACATTCATTTTAGTTTGTACGTGTCTTTGTGAAAAACTCCAATTCAGTTTTTTGTAACATTACTGCTTACAAAAAGAATTGACTGACTGAAAAATAGTGATGGTTATGTACTATTAAATAGATACCCTAGGAAATGTATTAATGAAGTGTGTTCACTGAAATAAACGCAACAACAAATGCAGGAGAAAACGACCAGTGTAGCAGCACCCTCAACAGCAATAGGTCTCAATATAAACAAAGAGAAAAGCAAGACTCTTCGATACAATACAATATGCACCAATCAAATTACACTTGACGGAGAAGCTTTGGAGGATGTGGAAACCTTTACATATCTGGGCAGCATCATTGATGAACACGGTGGATCAGATGCAGATGTAAGGGCGAGGATCAGCAAGGCAAGAGCAGCATATTTACAAGTGAAAAACATCTGGAACTCAAAACGATTGTCAATCAACACGAAGATCAGAATTTTCAATACAAATGTGAAGACAGTTCTACTGAATGGGGTGGAGACGTGGTAAACTACGAAAGCCAACATCCAGGAGGTACAGGTGTTTGTTCACAGTTGTTTACGCAAAATGCTTCGAATTCGTTGGCCAGACACTATCAGCAACAAGTTACTGTGGGAGACAACAAATCAGATTCCAGCGGAGGAAGAAATCAGGAAGAAGTGCTGGAAGTGGATTGGGCACACTTTGAGGAAATCACCAAATCGCGTCACAAGACAAGCCCTCACATGGAATCCTGAAGGCCAAAGGAGGAGAGGAAGACCAAAGAACATATTACGCCGAGAAATAGAGACAGACATGAGAAGAATGAACAAAAAATGGATAGAACTAGAATGGAAGGCTTAGGACAGAGTGGGTTGAAGAAAGCTGGTCGGCGGCCTATGCTCCATTGAGAGTAACAGGCGTAGGTAAGTAAGTTCAGTGAAATAGTGGATTTTAAAACCGTGCAATAAATAGGGTCGGATGGTGACTAGTAGTGGAATTCAGAACGCCCACTTCATCCTGTTATTTACATGTCAGTTGGCTGTACCTGTGTCCTAAAGGACTTGAAGCCGGTACCTTTTCGTTCAAACGCCAACGCGTTATCCACTTAGCTACTGAGTCAAGATGGCTATTAGGTTGTGCAATGAGGTGAATATTATTTCATCTGTATTGGTCGTTTGAATCTTAGATCAGTCGGTTTTACCATATTTGTATCCTGCTTGAATTGCCCCAATATTGCTGTCCTAGATTGTCTCGTATGTTTTATTTGAAACAGTTAGTATATATTAGTAGTTCACCGTTATATTATCCTGTGTTATGGTTATATTTTGAATCATTTATGTTTGCAAAATGTCAAATCTTTGATCTATAATCTATTGCATTACTTCAGCAAAATCATTCCAGCTCACTTTCAAGAGAATGACATACACAAACTCTGATAAGCAGGATTGATTAAGTTTGTAAACCTATAACTCATTTATTTTACAACAGTTTGTTATAATTTAAAGTTATTAGATTCTTTAATAAATTTGGATAGTGTAATAAGAAGACAAAGACTATCAGAATTATATAATATATCAGCTTAATACGTGTCGAACAATCTTTGATATCTTATTACACTATCTGGGTTTGTTGTAAATTTATTAAGGAAACATTATTGATAGTTCTACTTGACATTCAAAATCTGCCTATTAGTTTATGTAGTGAAGTAATTAAAACGAGAGATACTTCTACTATACGGTTACAGTAAACACTACCCATTCTGGCAAGAGAAAGAGATAAGTCTATGTTTTAATTGATGCAAATGAAATATCAGATGACGTTTTAAAAAAATCATTGAAAGCACTTACTTTTTAGCCAATTCTATTGCCGATAAACTTAAAAGGAGTGGATTGTTATCTGTTGGTGGTACAAAAGGGATTACAGTTTGATTCGTCAGCGTTCCTCTTGTCACATTATCAAGTAGTAATGCAGGTATTGGAGTATCTTGATTAGGAGTTCCAGCAAACCAGCATGTATAAGGCCATAAGGGATTGTTTACTGTCGGAGTGACAACGGAACCGTTCAACTTGTTAGCATCTTGCAAAACATTCCTCATTGATAAATGTTGTCCATTATTTATTACTTGAGTTTTATCTGTTGGTGTTATACAACTTATACTAACTGGATGTAATTCTTCCGACATATATTTCTTCGCTGGTAAGTCTAATATCAAATTATTTTGTCTTGATGGAGATGTAAGCCAAGAGCCTTGAGGTTTCAACAGGATTCCATTTCGATCATCATTCATATTATGATTTAGAGTCGGAACAAACATAGCAGATGATAGACGCTTTGCCTGTAATGAAGAAATACAAATGTTAGAAAGAAATATGATTAAACTTCAATTACTATATTTTTCTCGGTGAAAAAAGTTGATTTCTTTATTCTGAAGTAAACGCGGAAGTCATTGAATTAGAGATAGTTAAGTTTCAATTTTATCCAGTATTTGATCAATATACCCTGAATAGTCCTCATCAATGAAAGAATAGGTTTACCTTTTCTTTCAGAATATATACTGGGAATATAAATTTCTTTGTAAAGTAGTTTTATTTCAAAAAAAGATTTCAATACTTGTGTATTACTGAATTAAAGTTCTATTGTATAGAAATGGTTTAGTTAATAAGTTCTAATAAAAAACGACAGAACAATTGAAGCGTAATGATATTCATTCATTTCATTGCATAAATTCTTGTCCGTGAAATGTATAAGTTGGATTGACATATGATATAAGATCATATGACTAAAGATGATGAATGTTTGAAGTTATAAAATTTATAACCTCATTTACCGCTTATTACAGAATTATAAGATGGAAATTAGGAGAAATTAGAAAAAGTGTGAATGAAGAATTGTCTAATGTCTGGAAGTTAAAAGCATAGGTACATTACAACTGATTACTTCAAAAGTTATACTGAACAGTTCAATAGTGAAAGTTTAAAATATTGTCTTCTTATGGATCAATGGTAACAATAAGGTTGATTAATAAACTATTCAGGTATACTTCTGGGCTCTAGGACTTTAGTTTTACATTCTAGAAGATACTTTGTAATTTGTTTTAGCAAAAGTCTGGTTAATTTGTTAACACTTTGAAATTGACTAATTTAATCTCAGCAGAGAATGTTAGTTATGTCATCGGTAGGATTTATTAGCCTCATACAAGAAAGTAATGAACTCATTACATCAGAAGACTATATTTACCAGAAATACATTTTTTTAAGTTATTAAAAAGTAAAAACAAACATATTGACTAATACTGTGCAAATATCTATAGAAATTAACTCATTCAGGTATAAAACACTAAATCGGTATTCCTTCGTTAAACAGTAGGAATTTGGTCTTTTGACAGGAACGTGTAAATATTCAAGCTGAAAATTTCGAGTTCGCCACAAAGTTTATAACACAAAATCCACAATTCAAACGTGTTGTTAAACAAATTCATATGGTCAAATGGTAAAAAAGCTGTGTCAATTTGTAATCACTCATCATTTGTGATTGAAGAAACCATTGAGTTCCGCATTCATTTAGGCTCGCTAAAAATTAACAGCATAGAGATTTGTGGAGATCATGTTATTTTGACATTTAAATTCACGAATCGATCTAAGTTAGATCACCATTGAAAACCTAGAAGCGCTGGATGACCGTTTTGTAATAGATACTCACTGATGAGGAACCCCTTACTAGGACGAAACGGCAACTCAGTACTTCCACGTTTTTAGTGGTGATTTGACTTAGATTCACTCTTGTATTCAACTACTGAAAATATATATATCCATGTTTACATAGACAAGTTTGATCATTTCATAACTATTTCCCAATTCTTCTCTTTAACTCATAAATGCATGCAGAACATAACTTTAAAAATGTAGAAAAATAACTTAGTTTTCACTAATGCTGTATCAAATCCGTAAAGAAAAAATAAATTCTGATTGGATTCATTAGTTTTAAGCAACACAATATGAAGAACAAGAGTACAAAACTAAATTCAATGACAATTTAAAATTATGTTGTCATTGAAATTTGTTTGTTTGCATTAGTACTAAATAAACCAGGTAAAATATTATAGACAAAAAAGACAAATGATTGAACATTGATCAAGGTCGTTTTATTTTACACCGTTTGTTTAAATTTGACAAAAAAATAGTACTACTTTCAAATGTATGATGAGTATTGAAGTAAAACACTAAGGTTGTATAAGACCAAACGTTACGTTTTTTATTTTTCATTTATGCAATCAAATTCATATGAAACACCTAGACAACTTGACATGAAAATTAAAACACTGAATGTGAATTTGAATGGTGTACAGTTCAGTAGGAAAAAGTTCAGTTTTTCAATGTGTAAAAAATTTCTCTGTTCAAAATTGAAACGGACTTTTTGTTTTAAGGAAGTAGGTGAATTTCAATATTGAAATGTGAATAACGAGTTCTTTTTCCAAATGAAAAGTATCATTACAAATATATATTTCAACTTTTTTAATTTCCTACCTGATAAGTGATCTTCAATAAGTGAGAGAAAAGTATTTTATGAAATTTTCTGTTTTAAAATATAAATAAAAAACTGATTTACGATAGAAACTAGAAAGTTCCCGATGTGTTATTGATTCATAACATTATAAAAAAAATTATTGATTAACATTCAGAGATCGAGTTTGTACGAAATCTTTCATTGTAAAAGCTGAGATGTTTTTCAAAGAATAATGAACCTGGATAATATATATTTACACGAATTCACTTACTAATCCTTGTTTGTTAGTAAAGGTTGGTTCTTTACCCCATGAACATTTACAGGCTTGATCACCGACAATTTTACCATGCATTGTTACAATTGCTTGAGTAGCGGCCACGTGTGAATCGAATCTTTTAAAAGGTGAACGGAGAAGATTCAAGTACATTATATAGATGATAATAAGATGTTTATTAGTTAAGCTAAGTATGTTTACAGATCGAGTTCACATTTTGTAGTAGAATATCTTATGAATGCTGAGGCTTAGTGAGCCATCAAATAAATATTGGAAAATATATTTAAAAAATGTTATAATAGCTTTTGAATTCACAGTTGGAAGAGGTATCTTGTATAAACGTTTTTTAACAGAGCTGAAATATTATGCTCACACAATAAGATAAATGAGGAATTGGCTATTTCTTGGAAAGAACCGTATGAAAAAAACTTGTATTTGAAGAAATTTATAGCGAAATGTAGAAAAGAACATCTTGAACATAAACAACAAGTAATTGTTTGCACGAAAACCTCGATATATCCCACTCTGTTCAAGGGAGATGAGATTTAAAAAATCTATGGTAGTGATTTATTCGATTTCAAAATAAACTTTACTGTCATTTAATATGAAGTAAATAACTAGTAAGCATAAAGATACACTAGAGTAAGGAATTTAGTACTCCATAGTTTCCTCCAATCTCGAATCTACAGATTATGGAGACTAAAGTTCTCAGTTATAAAAGTGAACCAGATATCAATCAGCTGACCATAGCCCAAGAGTTAAAAAATGTATTTCTAATTCATCAAATGAAATGACGACAGATTCATAAATTAATTGTGTTCGAACCCCTCTAAGTGTTAAATGGAATGAAAGACATTTTCACACAAGTAATCATTCAAAAACAAACTGAATAATCCAAGTCATAAAATCTTTTCATTAACAAATAGAGAAACCAAATGGAATGAAACTCTTGACTAGATTGCCGTGCAAAACGTTGGATTTACTTCAAATTCATTCGCTGAGATTTTACAAATGTGTTCTTCCTATTTAATGTCTTACATTTACTCGGCGGTCAAATACTGTGAAATTATTCTCTCTAATTTAGATGAAAGTTCTTATATGTATAAATCAGGTTAAAAGAACGTTTATCTTGGGAATGTTCTTGAAAAAGATAAAAGTTCGAATAATAATACATAAATATTACAAATTTATGAAATCACTCATTAAATAAATAGTAAATTGTATCAAATGAACTTTTTTTTTCAGTTGACCTCATTAAATAAATTGACCTCATTAAAGTGATCAATTGTTTCATGAGGGTGTTTTTTTCTTCTTGTTGAAGTATACTCTTTATATGTTATTGTTTGTTTTTCGAAATCTATATATATTTTCACAACTAATGTTATTGAAGTGAAAAGTTAAACTGAATCATCTATGAATAGTTTAGTGGTATAACTCACCTAATAAATGAAAAACCTTTATCTTTAAATATTCTAATTTCTTTGATTTCACCAAATTGTTTAAATGAATCTTGAAGAAGCTTTTCTATGAAGAGAAGAATACAATATAAAATTGTATATGTCAGTTAAAATGCATTTTATTCTACAAGTCTAATAATGCTTTATTACTGTTAGTTGTAAAATATGGCTGCCTGACTACTAAGATTATTTTAATCAGTTCTAAAGTTGGTATAGTGTAATTTCAAGTTCCATTGGTCACATCAGAGAAATGTGATATTATAGGCAGAAGTTTTGTGGTACTGTAGTGAACAGAACACTGGTTGGGGACAATGGAATGTATTTAAGCAAAAATTACAGACTATCTCAGTAAATTTTGACAACCATACAATGAATAGTAAATTTGCAAATTAACTAGCAATTGTCTCAATCTTCACCGCTTCTTCTCTAATTTCGTTGTTCATGCAATTTCCTACCGATTGCGCTTCGTTACAGTTCTTTCCTCATCGGTTTTCCGCCAAAATACATCCTATGTCTGACCAACACCATATACTACTAGTGTGGATATAAGTAGGTCACACCACAGTACCTATTTTGAGAAATGGCTAACTATTTATTTAAATGGAATTCATTCTGGGAGGGTTGTAACAATTGAAGTACAATATTCATCCTTGAAACATAGCAATTCAGCTGTTTTACTATAACAGTTAGTAACAGACTGTTATGCTCATTAAGTAATATTTTGAAATTAATAAAATATCAATATCAATAGTTTCATACGTAAACTATCTAACTGGATTGAATAAAAGACATTTAAATTTTCATTATTATATGATCTCGCTTTTACTGCGAAATGAATTGATTAAAGGTGTAACTAATCAGTGAGAAGACTCAAACAAACAATACAAAATGAATTAAAACTTCACTCCATTGAACTAATTAATAGCTATCTGAACTGAGTAACTAAGTGGATAAAGTTACGGCGTTTGAAATGGAAGTTACTGGAAATGAAAAGTACTGCGTTCGAGTTCCGAAGTGAATATCAACTTTGGGATGCAGGTACATCCAGCTAACGAGTCTCAAATAGAACGAAACGCGTTTCCTAGATTCTGCTCCCAACCACTACCTATCTTTACTTATCATTCGTTGATAGTGGGACAAATCTGCAGTAGTTACATATACCGGAAAGTATTATATTTCCAACTTATTTCATCAGCCTGCAAAATTTCTCTACAAAATAACTCGTAGCAATTTTTAAGAATATTTTCTCGTTTCAATCTCTTTGTTATTTATAAAAATCAAAAATTATTATAACATTTTGATGCGACCAGTAATCGTTTTTTTCTTGGCATCCAAATAATTAGGTTATATAGGTAATCGATTTTTGATTGGTTTGAAATGTACCAATGCCGATAAACAAAAATGTCAACAGCTAATACAGTGAATTGTTCTGCAACATTTGTAACATATTGTTCTTTATTGGAAACTAGTGTTTATCTTATAGATATGGAAGCTTTCTTTTAGAAATGTATGGATACTAAATAATAAGTCAGTAGTAATATATTCATTGACTGTTAAGAGAACATTAAAGCTTAACACTTGACTCAGGAAAATCTTGTTAGACAATAAGTAAAAAAATTCGAAATGGTAAAGTAATGAAGAAAATATTAAGTTATCCAAGAGGGTTCTAAGGTGAAAATATACTCAACAATTTGTAACAGAAAAATTAACAGTTTCATTGCGTACCGTCACATTTCAGCATAATGGTTAGTAAAATGAGATCACTTAATTTATATGGTAAGAAAATTATAACAAGAAGGTGAATATATAATTATAATTTTAGGTATTGTTGGTGATCTTGTTTATGAATAGTTAATTGACTACTGATAACTCTGCATGAGTCCCCTCTAAAGCTAGTACTGGATTGGAACCCGGGTAATGGAGGAGGGTTGGGAAGAGGGTTAGCAGCCACACTAGGCAAATTGAATCCCACTTTAAAATTGTCACTCAGAATAAACTTATTAAACTCTAGTTATCAATTTGTAGGCTATTCAAGTAAAAAGGATATGATAGGATTTGGTGAAAGCTGGGATGATTATAGATAACGTTTGAACACATCCATTCGTTTTACTCCAGTCGCAAGTATTCCTAGTTATTTTTTGTTTCACGCGGTTTCGTACTTGTGAATGCACAAAACCACTCTTAATAAGATATTTTAAAAATTTACAAAACTTAAGTCAAAATCAAACCATTTAGCTTAACCAATGTCTCTATTTAACTCATTCATATAATTATTGATAGTATTATTTCAATAGTGTGACATTACAATTAGGTTTTTTACCGTAAAATCAACTTGTTGATTATGGATTTCAAACGAACAAAAACAAAACAAACAATAAAGTTTCTTTAAATCTGATTATATAAATATTTATTTAAAGATTATATTATATTTTATATAGTTGAGATCATGAGTCAATTGAAGTTAGACCACTATGGAAAACCTGAAAGCACTAGACAACCGTTATGTTCTATTGTGGGACTCTTCAGCAGTGCGCTTCCATGATCCCACCTCGCGAGATTCGAAATTGGGACCTATCAGTCTCGCGCCAGAGCACTTAACAGATGGACCACTGAGATTGCCGGCATCCAACGGTGTTAATGTCTAACTTCAACCAATCCACGAAATTGACCAACCGTTCACCAAAGTCTTCAGTGAGTTGATATCTTCCAACGGACCTGGTTGAGCTCCACTGGTCACTGCTTCTCACTAGAACTCCAAGAACTACCTCATGGAGCCAGTAACTAGTAAGCATATGATCATCATCAAAAGGGGTTTTGTGGAGATCTCAGTATTTTCATAGTTGAAATCATGAGTCAACTAAAGTAAGACATTAACACCGTTGGACGCCGGCAATCTCAGTGGTCCATCTGTTAAGTGCTCTGGCGCGAGACTGATAGGTCCCGATTTCGAATCTCGCGAGGTGGGATCATGGAAGCGCACTGCTGAAGAGTCCCACAATAGAACATAACGGTTGTCTAGTGCTTTCAGGTTTTCCATAGTGGTCTAACTTCAATTGACTCATGATCTCAACTATATAAAATTACTAAAATCTTCACAAAACCCCTTTCTTATATTATATTTTCTATTATTTATAATCCTTTTACTTAGTTTATTTAACCAAACAATATTCCGTATTTATTTTAAATGTATATATCAGTTAACTAAAAAAACAAAAAAAATATTGAATTTATTACACCCATAATTAAAACTTATTAAAAAATTATTTGATTGGTTGATTATTTTTTAATTATAGGAAATTTCAAATATTTCCTATTCTCTTCAAAATCTAAAATTAAACTAATTTTCAAATAAATTATAAGTAGAATAGGAAGTCATAGAAAAAAATTAATAAAATTAGAATAAATTTAATATAAAGAATTAAAATATAATATAAACTATAAAAATCAATAAAGTATCCATTTACACACACACACACACAGAAAAAAATAAAAAAAATAATAAGAAATGAAGAATTTTCATTTACCAGTCAATTCATTCGTTATACCACCAACATAAATTGTTGTATTTGTAGAAGATGATGCATTAAATACTTCCAAATAATTTAATGGACGATGATCTACAGAAGAAAGAAGAAAAACAAGCGAAAAAGATAAATTGACGAGAGAAAAAAATAATGACAAACAATGAACTGAGAATAATTTAATTGAGAAGCTTTAGTTATTCTACTTCTGGTTTAAAACTTAGTATGTTAATGAAGTTTAATACTATGTTTCTTACACAACTGATTGATCACTGGATGGTGATCAATGTCATGTGTGTCAAGTCCGTCTTAGTGCTGATCGAATGCTATCGAGCCATATAGACTAGTGGCCACATTGCAACTTGATCGATAGCATTCGATCAGCACTAAGACGGACTTGACACACATGACATTGATCACCATTCAGTGATCAATCAATTGTGATTATATCTCAGTCCTACAGGAGGTCAGTCGCGGCCCGAATGGCTCAGTGGTAACGTCTCTGATTGTGAAGCTGGGTGACGCGGGAGCACAAGTTCTCTCAAGATTACAGGTACGCCTTGCTGACGAGTGCTAAGTAGCATAAATCCCGGGTCCAGGCTTTCCTATTGACCACCTCCAACCACCATCTTATCACAATGTTTCTTTAGATTGTTCTATGTATTGAAATATTTATTCTTGTTTTATTATTAAGAACCGACAAGAATTAGAAATATTAATTATTGTATACTAACCTGTTAGTTTATTTGCCAATATTGTTAGGCAACGTTGGTGAGATCGTGGTTTTGTAAATAAATGGTATTAATTTATTGAAGTCTTTTTAAACTTATAAAATTTTCTCCTTAAATATTCTTCACCTATGGTTAGTTTAACTCCGCCTGTAGCTCCTACAGGGGCTACTGCCGATTCCAAGCTCGGATAAAGGAGGAGGGTCGGGCATGAGGTTAGCGACCCCATCCCGTAGAAAACTAACTCGCTAAAAAAACGGTAACTAGAAAAAAGTAAGTAAGTAAGTTTGGTTAGTTTAGTAGATTCAATTGTGTCTTTGAATTTTTTTTGCGCAGGTAGTCTGATATTAGATGTTTGTGAATTACAATATCGGAATGTAAAACGAGTTGTTTCATGTTTTGTTTTTCAAATCTGGAAACATCGCGAAAATGGTATAAGTCTGATTCATTTACAATTTACTGTATGGCTTTAAACGAGTAATAATTTCATAAATTTCAAAAATGTGGTAACAAGACAAAGTTAATTTAGGAAAGGTTGTGTCATCGTGAAATACATTTCGAAAACCCTGGTCACAAATTACTTTCATGTAGTTACCGCCACCATTTCTGATAAACTCATAAGTCATGGAATTTCAAATACCTTTTTGATACTTCTGGAGAGATTTTTAGGGTTGACTTTTAAAATTTTATAAGAAGCACAATCTCATTTATATTTGAAAAGTGATTTATAATCAATCCGAGTCTGGTCTGGCAATCTTTAGTTTACATTTTATACTGACCTAATATCGCCCTTAATTACTTTTTAAGTTTCTATATAAAATAACTCAATAAGTCGATATAAGATTACCTGCATTCAGATGAATTTCACAAGCACATGGTATCTTTTGCGCTAACTTTTTATATTAGAATTCTCATAATAAGTAATGTTTATTTATTGAAAAATATTTGATTTAGCTTCTCCTAATTTTTCCAAAGAGCACCTTTTCGATTGAAGCCTAATTAGCTAACATCTACGAACCCTACATCCTTATGTAGCATTAATAGTATTTTAGCACAAAGTCGATTTAAGACAGTAAGGTATCTATTTATATTCGATAATTTTGATGTTTGATTATATTTCTTTGAAAAAGCTTGGACCAGATTGTCAAGTAAAACGTTGGATTTACTTTAAATTCATTTGCTGAGATTTTACAAATACATTCTACATCCCTAAAGTATTACTTATCTAAGTTTTGACGTTCTTCTAGCTATGAATTATTTCAAAACGTTCTAGGGTTTACCAAAAACATACAGTGTTAGCAGTATCCGGTTATCGAGGTCTATTTAAACAAAGTGTGTAGGGAAAGCTTATAACCCTAATTTATTAGAGCTGACAACTTTTCATCGGCTTTATTTATTACTACTACTATATTGAAATATATCATTTTATTTTATTCATAATTAATATAATGAGAACTATCATTCTCTAATTCATTAATAGTCGTCACTATTTCTGTAATGGTTTAGCCATAATAAGTTAAAAGTACAACTATTTACAGCATGCTCACAACAAAATTGTTCCCTTAAATTATAGTAATTGTTCTGGCGAACTAATGATGAATATAGTTATATCATGTAAAGCAAGATAATGTGCACAGTAATTTTTCAATAGAAATGTAAATAGCCTATAAAGTTAGGGTGCATATCGAAAGTGATAAAAAATTTATACCACTATGTAAGTTTATACATAGACCAATGAATCATCGAATGAAAAAGGATTTTCTAAACTATCAATGATCAGGAAATAGAAATTTATAGTAAAAAAAGAAAACTTATAGAAGGTTTCTAGGGGCGCACATGTAAGTCATTTATAGATAAATGAAAAATATCTAAGTAGTCACCTTCATTGAAGTGAATAAAAGACATTTCAATCTCTAGCATCAATTACATACCGATCTCAGTGGTTTTAAAAAGCATAAGGATTAGTTTACCTTGTAAAACGTTTTTCATTACATCTATATTAATATGGGTTAGCAACCGTTATCCGATATATTTCTGTTATCTTCATTAATCTTGAGATAATTTTTAGTTCAATAATTTATGCTAATGATGTTATCTAGAAAGACAATACAAACTTCACAAATGAATGATTCTACACAATACCTGGACACTTCTTAATCTCTAATAATGCAAACGAGTTTAGATTTAATCTTACTTTATTCAGTAATGCGCAGTTTTTATGACATATCAGTGTATTACATCGATATAATGATCTCTTCTAAGTAGAAAGTATCAATTTAAGCTCTAATAAATTCTCAAGATAGATTATTATATATATATATATATATATATATATATATAATCTTTTAAATGAACAACACAGAAGAATAGAAAAACCTTTTTATCACAATTATCAATCAGTATTTATATATCAGTTATCGTTAATATCCTCACGTTACTAATAATATTCCTCTGCTTAAAGTACTGGTTTAGTCATCAGTAGAATTCAACAGAGCCTAGCATTAGAATTCATTTTTCTTCATATCCGAGAGTCATTTAGTGGTTTTGCCATGTATCCCAATTTTGATGTCCACACAGTATTATATACACATAAAAAGATATTGTTAAAAGCAAAACTTATGTAACTAGAACTATTATCATAAAGGGGATTTTGAGTATTATAGTAACTTAATGGTTGAGTTCATGAGTCAATTGAAGTAAGACCACCATGGAAAACCTGGAAGCACTGGACGGCCATTTTATCCTATCGTGGGACTCCTCAGCAGTGCCCATCCGCGATCCCACCCCGCAGGATTCGAACCTAGGACCTGTTAGTCTCGCGCGAGAGCGCTTAATCTCTAGACCACTGAACCGGCAGTTCCAAATCGAGCTCGTACCTAACTAGAACTGTCCATTAGCCGGGCTAATGTTTGCTATAAATGTTTCAAATAGTTTTGTTTTGCAGACCTGAAAAAAGAAACTTTGTATAGTAGATTATTATCCTTTTATTATTGAAATAATTCATTTACTTAGATGATCACTTAAAATATTTCAAAGTATGTCTGGATAATTGAGAAAGTTCTATGTCTTAGTTATTATACTAAGATATGTGTGTCAAATCATTTTTACGTCACACAACTTTTATTGGCCCTTAAGTCTGACTCCATTTTGATCGTATGAATGATTGTTATTGAAATGTACATGTCCATAATCCTTGTATATAATCATCGACTTAAATCGCATTGGTCAATAACGGAATTAAATATATCATATACGAGAATGGATTTTTGAATACGTATATTTCGTGTGATCGTTGATCGAAAAGCGAATTAAAACGAAATCGCACGTGGTTGAGAAGGCATGTAAATGAACTTAATTTAGCTAAGCGTGAATTTATAGTCGAACAAAAGTAAGTCAAAGACACATAACAAATAGGGTAAGTAATTAACGCACATACGAATATATATAGACAATCAAGGTTAATAAGCAAATGACTGACAAGGCCAAAATGTGGCTTATGAAGAATGAATAGCTAGAATAACCTATGTGGGCTTGACATAGTGCCAACCCCTACAGGCTTTCCAATACTGTTTAGATGAATGGTTTATGAAATCCAATCAGTTGAAAGTACAGGTGGATGGAAAACAAATCAACTTGTAGAAGTGACTCGAAATGGTGTCACTCACCTTTAGCTTGATCTGCTGGGTCTTTTCGTACTGCCCAATTCGTTCTTATAGCTCTTGTGCCAATAATTTGACCGTTCATGATACGGATAGCACGTTCAGCTTCCTATTTTTAAGAATAGATGTTATGAAATAGAGGTATGAGTTTATTATAGTACAGATGACTCTTGAGAAATGGATCCCGTTCAAGAGATTGATTGTTGTAAATGTCTATCTCGGAAGAACGTTCATCTTTTTGAGTCATAGTTACAGTTAAACATTTAAAATCGCTATAGGATTGAACTACATAAGACAAACGTATTTACGGATGAATGTTTAAGGGTAGTTTTAACTGCACTTTCGTTAGGAATATTGTAGATAAGTGTGATAGCAAAATATTTTGGAAAACATTACTGTCCGAATCAATTTTTTAAGTATCCCCTTTTGACTGAATAACATAACATGGTCATTTTAGAGAACATTAAATCTCACTACAACGAAGTCTACAGAGGATTAAGAACCTGAGAAAGCTCTATATATATATATCGTTTTATGAGTAGGGACTTCAATGTATTTGTATATCTTCGATGTAACTAATTTCAATAAAACATGCTTAAGTAAAAATCTACAGTAAATATATTGAAGTAGAATTATTTTCAGACAATATTTACTTGATTTCAGTCATTGTTCATTTGTTTTAAGCTATAGCACAATACAGAGCTTAAGCTTATTCAAACCTTTGAAATCAAGATTTTGTCATTAAAACAAGTAATGAAATTACAAGGTATATGGTGCTTTTTCTTAGCCCACCAAGTTTTCCAGTCTTGAGAATGAATCTTTTATTACATAAAAAAGCTACATTAGATAAAGACATTTATTCAAAGTACTAATTTCCTTAATATGATTTAGTCGTTACCCAGATCCAAAAGCTTTCAGAAATGATTTTCCCGAGTTTTCACAGTGTGTTCATAGATTAACCTCATGGGTGATTAATGGAATCGATATCAAGTACGTACATGTTTTATTTAGTGCGTCAGTCATTTTTGCTGTATGATGAGACGCAAACACTTTCTTGTCAATACCATGTGATTCAAGCACTCAACGAAAGCATCATTACAGCTGGCATTAAAATGCATGCCACTTTAAACTATTCCTCCAAGTTTAGTTGGTAAACTATTTGTATTGAAGTTCCAGTGAACTATGATTTTACTTACAAATCTGTAAACTATTCGACATTGATAAAACGACGTATAAAACGACGTATAAAAGTTTAACTCAACTATCTTGGTGAATACCTACTTTGTACTTATTGAATAGTGTTGAGGTGAACTGACATAAATTCGTGATCTGTATGAAAATAGCTTTACTTCACAAAATATATTAACATAAATCTGTGTATCATAACTGCTGAAATTCACAGCAATTCTGAGTGTTAAATGGTTTTCAATGATTCTTCTGCTGATATAAATGAGTGAAGAAACTTTAACTTCTATTGATTCCAACAATTTGTCTTGAGTAAAACAAACTGTCTTTGATACTTTTGTTATTAAAAGTGTTGTTAATTTACAAACAATAACGTTTACGATAATAACACCGTAGTGTTAGTTACTGATTCTCTGAAGCACTTGTTAACCATACGTTTTCCCATATTTAAACAAACTTGATTTTGGATTTTTCACAACTCATTACCTGGATTCCAAGAGATGACTTACTGACCATAGTGTCAATAAATGGTTTGTTTCTGGTTTGACGTTTCTTCATTCTACATTTTTAATGTTTGAGTTATCATACAAAACTTTTACAGATTGTAGCAAATCTGCTACAAAATGGTTTGTCTTTTTAAAGGATGAGTAATTTAAACTTATGAATTCAGATTGCATCGTAATTTAGGGTAGTTGAAATATCTACAATTGTGTATGTAAGGTTATTATACATTAATATTAAACATTTATTGATGAGTAATTAAAAATTAGTTTACGACAATTGATAACAATATTAAAACGGATATCTATCAACTGCTATGGAATTTAGATCAAGCTTACTTGTCTTGTTGCATAAGCCACAAATCCATATCCTTTTGGCTTCTGTGTATGCATATCCTTGATTATTTTGCATTCTCTAAATTAAAAGTTAACAAAGAAAATCAAAAACATGTTTGGGATATTTTTATAAAGTCAATGTTAAGTGACTTCCATGACATTTAACCTCTTTTGACTAACTCGGTTTAATATATATATATATATCATAAGTCTTAGAATGTGAAAAAGATCATACGGGAAGTGAGGCAAATGGTTATTGATGAAGCAAAAAAATATATTTAGCTGAAATTCAACAAAACATTAGTACAGTTCAATGGCTTCGACATTTTTAGCCTATGTCAGTACGTGATTAAATGTCCATTGAAATTTAACGTCTTATTGAAGAAGGTAAGTTTGTTCTGAAGAATAGTATTAATTCCATTATCTTTTAAGTTAAAAAACGGAATTGACTGACAAACAACTGTTTTCAACACTCTCTCTTAAGTTTTCATATTTGAAGACGATGTGAAATCTGTGAAATCAGCGCACGAAGACAGCTGTGTAAATAGATTCCTCTGGAAAAATGTCGAAATCCTAAACGATGTAATGTAAAAATGACAGAGAATTCCTAAAACCATGTCACTCAGATTAGAGGGAAACAAGATTTGACAAGGTCTATCAAATCATTCGACAAAGATCAATCTACATCCTGGTCAGAGGTCCACGGAGTAAGATAACTAACTTGAATACAAGAATAAACGAAAACAGAAAACCTTATGACAATGATCAGCCCAAACAAGGCACCGAAAAATATAATTGAAGGCAAGTGAAAAGACAAAGAAGCTCACGTCAATATGAAGAAAACAATATCACAATATAAATACTAGTGTTTTGAGTAATTTTATTTGTCCAAAAATTAGCGGTAAAAAACTACTACTTTGACGATAAAATGCAGAGTAATGCGGTAAAAATATCATAAACCTTCAGTACTAAAGCTACCCTCTAATTTGTTTCCATCATTTGAATGAAACAAGCATTCTTTTTAATAGTGCTTACTTTTAGTTTATTATGTTCAGTTGTCTAGTTTATTTATAACTATAGTTTATAGAAAAATCAAGTTTTTAAGGTGTATGTACAGTATTTTCAACTTAATAACAATGAAAAATGGGAACATAGAGGTAAAATTTAAAATTCATTTAATAATGAAATTAGGTAATTATACATAAATGAAATGTGAAATTCATTGTAAAACTTCTCCTTGAAAAGGTATGGACTAGATTGCCACGTGAAACGCTGAATTTACTTGAAATTCATTCGCTGATATTTTACAAGTATATTCTTCCTATTTAATATCATTGTAAAACTGTTATTTGCTAATATTCATTCATCACTTTCAAGAAAGATTATTCATTGAAATATACTTTGAAGAGTGTATCTTCATATGATTTATACTATTCATTCTAAACCTTCCTTCCAGTAAACAGTATTGATAAAGAGTTTGTTCAACAAAACAAAATTTGAAATCTTTATTTACTGCACTACTAGTGATATAAGGCTGTTTTTTTTCCCTTTAACATAGTTAATGTATATTAACTAATTAATGGTAATTCATTCAAAAGATTCTGATTTGTTTTATTATTAATTAAATTGTGTTTGTTACATTTTTTCTTTAAACATCTTGTTGTTGTTGCTTTTTTTCTCTTTTCTTTCTTTTCTTCTCATAGAATACCATGGTAAATTATCAATAATTGGTCTACGCCCATATTTTAATTTTTTCCGAGTGAGTATATCATTATTATTTAAATGTAAACCTATTACTTCTTAATTTTAAATAAAGTAACATTCTATAAGAAGAAGTAGTCAAATATCCATTTGCTCAATGATAAAACCTTTCCATTCTATATTGTTGTTAATTTGTTATAGAATAATAAAATTAAAATAAATTTCACTTCTGACAACAAGAAATAATTATGTTTACATTATAATTAGATTGTAAAAAAAGAGGGAATAAATCACTAAGCACAATATGTACATATGCCAATAAGAGACTGTCCAGTTGCAGTCCTAAACATCAATCAGAAGATTCAAACAAACAATACTAAGTAAATTTAAACTTTACTCCTTTGCAAAAGCAAGTGGATATCAGGAATCAGTAGGTGAGTGAATAACGCGATGGTGTTTGAAGCGAAAGGTACTGAGTTGGAGTACCAGAGTGAACATCAACTCTGAGATGCAGATACATCCTGCTGATGAGTCCCAAATGGGATGAAACGCGCATCCTGGATTATACTACTAGCCACTATCCATGTTTGTTTATAAGTCATTTCATTCTATATTTGTTAATTTGTTATGGAATAATAAAATTAAAATAAAAAATCTTTATTTCTGACAAAAAGAAAAAGAAATAATTATGTTTACATTATAATTAAATTGTAAAAAAGAGGGAATAGATTACTGTATATTATATATCTAATTTCGTTATATCCCAAAGAGAATTATAAATGGTAACTCTTGAGAACTATTTAAGGGATCAATATGATACGTATATTCCTTATTATATAATTATTAAGTAACTTAACTGTTCATATTTATGTCCTTTTTATTATGAGCTTTGTTTTGATCTATGAACCATGATTATTTGATTTACCGTTCTTGAGTTATACTCAATCTATTAATAACTGTTCCCCACATTCACAGTCACTTTCGGCTGAATATTGTACAAATGTTCTTTTCTATTTTATGGTACGATGTGGTCTGTATGAATGGTATATAAACTCAGTATGGTTTTGCTTAGCTCGCTGATATTTGCTCATGTGCTTATAGATTTCCGGCCTGCGTCATTAGTTAATAATACTGTAGCTACCTCTTCTTTTCGCCTTCTGATTTTATGCACCGTTAAGATTTGTATTGTAACGGTTATCGAGGTGAACGATCAACGAAGCACGGCACTACAACTGTTCCTTAATTGGCGGTATTGCCATATCATATATAGTTGAAATCAGGAGTCAATTGAAGCTTGACCACCATGGGAAACCTGAAAGCACTGGACAGCCGTTTCGTCCTCGTCAGCAGTGCGCATCCACGATTCCACCTCGAATCTCGCTCGCGAGAGCGGGTTCGTGGATGCGCACTGCTGAGGAGTCCCATAATAGGGCGAAACGGTGCTTCCAGGTTTTCGATGGTGGTCTAGCTTCAATCGACTCACGATTTCAACTTTGAAATATTCAATATGTATTAAAACATCCGGTTACTCCTATCGTGAAAGCTATACTCGGCATACCACCAAGTAAATTAACCAATGAATAAGAAAATATTCTCTAAAAAGGTTTATGAAAAGTTTTGCTGAATGAACGCTGAATTTGATTTTTTAGACGCCTTTAATAACCTTAGACTGGATTTACACGACAAATAAGATACATGAGTAAAGGTGTGGAGACCGGTAATAAGGATTTTTTCGATTCCTAAAATCAATCGGAATGATTTAAGAATATATCACATGTTATATGATTTCTTCACAATTAGATCAACAGTCAGATTTGTGTAAATTGGACTGAGTTGTGTTTAACAATAATAATTCGATAAGTTACTGTTGGAACACATATCTACAATGTTATACAATTCAGGATCTATGATCCTTCTTACGATATGAATATGTCACACACAATTGGCAAAAAATGAATTTCAGGTATCATTCACACCAATCGACAAAGGTGTCACTCTCTATATCTATTTAGAAACGATTAAATGAAGGCAGTACATATTTCTGTCTCATCAAAGGTAGTCGACGTTAACCATGTTATAGGTAAAACCAAATTATTTCCAGTAATCTGCCTTATAACTTCGCCTTTAGCCCTTCTTGGACTACTGCCGATCCCGAGCCCAGATAAAAGTGAAGGGTTGGGCGCGAAAACAACCTTGATAAAAATTCTTAACAGAATAATTAATCTAAAGTGTACTTTCGTCTTTTTTTCAACGGGGTTTGATCCTTTCTTCTACCTCTTAGCAAACGTGGTATAGATAAAAATTGAGAAACGTTTTCACCAATTGTTTTCCTTCCTTTTCTTTAGTATATATTCACTGTTTGATAATTTTTTCACTTCTCATTGCGTATTTTTCAAAGTTTATGGTGATCATTTATTTATACAAGCTTCAACCTACTGCACTTGTCAAAACATTGATTTAAGGCTTTATTTTTCCTTCATATTTCAAACTTGGATCTGATCTTGACTAACTCACTATTGAGAACCTGGAAACGAAAGAAACCTGTTTCGTCTTAGAGTGTAACTTCTCACCATTGCATGTCCACAACCCTATATCCAAGAATCGGACCCCGAACTTTCAGTCTCACCTGTGAACGTTTAACCTTATAAATACAAGGGCACCTTTCATCTTACGATTGATTTGCCTAGATTCATATAAATACAATTAAATGACACACGGTTAAATCCTATAAACTGTGGAACGAGCTTATCTATTTAAATACAGACTATATTTAATAAGAAGATGATCGTAGTTGAAAAATAACGCATTATCCATTGACATACTGAGTCAGTAACTTGTCCAATCAATGCTAAGTATATTGATTTACCATAATATCTATTTATTCAATAATTTTTCCACCATAATTTAATTACCAAAATAGAGTTCTGTTTCAATTCTAGTTTTTTTTTATATTTTTCTCTTTAACCATAAAAAAAATATTATGCAAAAAAATATTTTTTTCTTATTAAGGTCAATATATTCCTCCATAAAAACAAACTTGAGATTACCTGTTCACAGGCTATTAAACTTGTGTCATGCAAAGAAAAAGTAATACCGGGAACAATTCTACTAATAATAACAAGATTAATGTAATTTGATGAAAGAAAAATAAAGGAGCCAAAAAGGGGGTTTCTTCTATTCTCCTTTCATTTATTTATTGATTATGTTATTTAATATGAAGTTAACAAAAAAAATTATTTTTCTATTCAGTTTTAATAAAAAAAATGTTTATTAAAAAGCGGTTTGGTGGAGATTTTAGCAATTTTATAGAGTTGAGATCATGAGCCAATTGAAGCTAGACCAACATGGAAAATCTGGAAGCAATGGACGGCCATTTCG